GTTTTTGTTTTGACATCTGTTGATGTATTTAATTACATTTATGGTTTTATGAATGTTGAACCAGATTTGCATCCCAGGGATGAAGCCTACCTGGTCATGATGGATGATTTTTGAGATGTGTTGTTGAATCCGGTTTGCTAGGATCTTGTTGAGAATTTTATCATCTATGTTCATCAAAGATATTGGCCTGTAGTTCTCTTTCTTTGTTGGGTCTTTACCTGGTTTGGGTGTCAATGTGATGTTAGCGTCATAAAATGATTTGGGGAGAGTTTCATCTTTTTCAGTCACCTAGAATACCCTCAGTAGGATTGGTATCAGCTCCTCCTTAAATGTCTTGTAGAATTCTGCTGGAAAGCCATCTGGACCAGGGCTTTTTTTTTGTAGGTAGTTTTCTTATTACATAGTCAATCTCCTTGATTGTTATTGGTCTATTTAGGGTTTCAATTTCTTCTTGTTTCTACCTAGGCAGGTTGTGTGATGTCAGAAAGTTCTCCATTTCCTTAAGGTTTTCAAGTTTGTTTCCACACAAGTGTACGTAGTAGTCTCTAATGATCTTTTGTATTTCTTCAGGGTCAGATGTGACTTCATCCTTTGTGTTTCTGATTGTGTTTATTTGGACTTTTTCTCTCTTTTTCTTGGTCAGTCTAGCTAGGGGACCATCAATCTTGTTTATCCTTTCAAAGAACCAGCTTTTAGTGTCATTGATTTTTTTGTATTATCTTTTTGTCTTCTATGTCCTGGATTTGGGCTTTTATTTTGGTGATCTGGATTCTTCTGCTGAAGTTAGGGTTTTGGTGATCTTGTTTTTCCAGCTTCCTTACGTGGCTTGTTAGGCTATTAATTTGTGATCCTTCCATTTTCTTCATGTGTGTTTGTAGGGATATAAATTCCCCTCTTACTACAGCTTTCATGGCGTCCCAGAGATTTTGGTAAGATGTTTCTTCATTTTCATTTGTTTCCAGGTAACTTTTAATCTCTGTTTTCATTCCATCATTGACCCAGCAGTTGTTTAGCATCATGCTGTTTAGTGTCCATGTCTTTGTGGGTTTTAGGGGGACCTTGTTGGTGTTGATATCTATTTTTATTCCACTGTGGTCCGAGAAGGTACATGGTAAAATTTCGGTTCTTTTAAATTTGCTTATACTTGATTTATGGCCAAGAATGTGGTCAATCTTAGAGTACATTCCATGCGGTGATGAGTAAAATGTATATTCTGTGGTCTTTGCATGGAGTGTTCTGTAGGTATCAGTTAAGTCCATTTGGTCAAGAGTCACATTGAGGTTTCAGATCTCGTTGCTGATTTTTTTGTCTTGATGATCTGTCTAGGGTTGTGAGTGGGGTATTGAAGTCCCCAGCTATGATGGTATTGGAGTCGATATCTTTTTTTAGTTTACCTAGAAGCTGCTTTATGAAAGTTGGTGCTTCTATGTTGGGTGCATATATGTTTAGGATGGATATTTCTTGTTGATGGATTGAACCTTTTATCATTATGTAGTGGCCTTCTGTATCCTTTTGATTTTTGATTGCTTAAAGGGTATTTTATCTGAGATTAAGATCGCGACTCCGCCTTTCTTTTGTGTTCCATTCACCTGAAAATTTGTTTTCCATCCTCTTACTTTGAGTCTGTGAGTGTCCTTTCCTGTGAGGTGAGTCTCTTGAAGGCAATAAATTGTTGCCTGGTGATATTTTATCCATTTTGCCATTCTATGTCTTTTCAGTGGTGCATTTAGTCCATTCACATTCAAGCTAATTATTGAAATGTGAGAGTTGATCCCTATCATAATGTTCTTACAGAGTTGTTGTTCTTCCTGTTTGTGTGTTGTCTTTTTTTGGTTCTGGAGTTGGTTCATGTGTGTTTTTGATCTTTTGCCTGTACTCTTGTGAAGAACGTTGTTGTTCTTTTTTCCTTTTATTCTGTGTTCAATACTTTCTTAAGTGTTTCTTATAGAGGTGGTCTGGTGGCAGCATAGATTCTTAGGGATTGGATATCTGGGAAAGATTTCAACTCTCCCTCACCAATGAAGCTTAGCTTGGCTGGGTAGGTTATTCTCGGTTGAAATTGTTTATCTTTTAGAACTTTGAAGATTGGACTCCAGGCTCTCCTGGCCTGAAGGGTTTCTGTAGATAAATCTGCTGCTATTCTAATTGGTTTTCCCTGGTAGGCAGTCTGACCTTTTTCTCTTGCTGTCTTTAGGATTTTTTCTTTTATACCTATTTTGTTTAGGTGAATTATTATGTGTCTGGGAGTTGGTCTTCTCATTTGTTGTCTTGCAGGGGTTCTCTGAATCTCTTGTGTTTGAATTTTTGCATCACTGATGAGATGAGGGAAGTTTTCTTGAATGATTTCATGAAATGTTTGTTCCAGTGTGACCTCTGTTTCTTTCTCTGCCTCAGGAAGGCAAATTACTCTTAGGTTCGGTCTCTTGAAGTGATCATTCATCTCTTGAAGGCTTTGTTCTGTCTTTTTGAGCTTCTTTTCTATGCTTTTGACAGTATAGGTTAGTTTTGTGTTTTGGTTTTCGAGCTCTGAGATTCTTTCTTCTGCTTGGCTAATTCTGCTTTCCATGCTTATTAGTTTGTTATTTATTTCCATCTCAGTACTCTTTACTGCTGTTATTTCTGACATCAGCTCCTTCCTATTTTCCTCTTGTCTCTCCTCAATTTTTTTAATTCTCTCTATTAATGTCTTGATGTCTGGGTTTGTTTCATGTGACCAGTCATTCTGGGGGCTCTTCATTGTTTGTGTGCCGAAGTCTGTTTTCTCAGTGTCTGACCTCCCAGGGGTCTGTGTGAGATCTATATTCTTCTTTTGGTTTTTCTTCATTTGTGCAGTTTTCCCCTCCCTACTTTTTCCTTCCCTCCACGTCACCATCTTCTTTAATTCTGTTATTCAGGTGTGGAGGGGTTGTTTTTACTTGCTTGTTCAATCTCCTATTCTTGTTTATGTATGTCCTCTTACTTTGTTCAATTCTGGAGTTGCACTGTAGGTTGGGGGTGGTCCTTTTTGGAGTTTTGGGATTTACTTAAGGGGTGAGCTGTGATTCAAAATCTATCTGCAGGTCCTGGTATCCACCGACAGGTGTATGAATAATCTGAAACCCACTTCCCACTGCCTTGGAATCTGTCCTTGCAGTGGGGTTGTAGGTTTGCTCCCTAAAATTAAAATGTGGTTAACAGAGGGAAGAGAATGGAGCAGGCAGTGGGAGGGAAGAGGGGGTGGAGAGAGAGAGGAGTAAGGGTGAAAACAGACGAGAGTACCAACAAATGGAGAGAGAGACAAAAATTGAAACATATAAAAACAATAGACCATGGTTACAAACTAACCAACTCCCATACAAAAACAACTAAAACACATAATGTTGTTAACATACAAGCTTACCAAACTCCTTATTGGTGTGCTATTCCTCTATACAAATATATGGTTTACAGAGAGAAGAAAAGAAAAGAAGGGAAAAGAAGGAGGGAAAAAAAGGGGGGAGAGGGAACAAGACAGAAGGAATAGAATCAAGTCAGTAGACTAACAGAACCAATCAAGCACACTCTGAGACTTTTCATTTAAGTCGACTGTCCTTTCAGCTCTGATTTCTAGCTGTCTTTTCAGGCTGGTAAGTTTATTCACAGTTAGGATCAGTTGCCCCTGGCCTGCTGTGAAGGGCAGTTCAGATTATCACTCAGTTCATCACTGCTCTGTTCACCACTCAGATCTGGCCTGTGTCTGTCAGGCTTCCATTTTTCCCCTTTTGGTGTTGTTACCTTGAATCACCAGCAGGTGGTGGTATCCCCCTCTCCAGATGGTCTTTATCTCAGCTGCTTGCCTATCCCTAAGAGGAGGGAGATGTTGCCTCAAGGCACACGGGAGGAGACCCACAGCCTGGCAGAACGTCACAGTGGTAGCAGACTCAGCAGATCTTGCTCACAGGAGCTTCAAGGTCTGAAGTCGTGGATTACCTCAGGTACTGGCCGTGCAATGTGTAATGGCTGTCTCCCTTGGCAGGGGCAGCAGCAGCAGCATCAGCAGCAGCTCGCCTCAGGCACTGACGGTGCGATGTGGAATGGCTGCTTTCCTCGGTGGCAGCAGCTGACCTCAGGCACAGGCAGTGTGATGTGGAATGGCTGCTGGCCACCAGCAGCGGTGGCAGCGACAGCCACAGTAGCTGCCCAGACCACGGTGATGCCTCAGTGAAGTCTACGGCTGAGCTCTGTGTGAAGAGCAGGCTGCCGACGATGGGATCTGCAGCCTCCGGGGAGAGAACCAGAGTCTCTTTGTGTTCTCCCCAGTGGAGAGTCTCACAGATCGAGCTGCCCCGTGGCCATCTTGCCGGAAGTCTCCAACATCTTCTACGGGCCTCCAGCTTCTAATGGAGCATGCTTCCTCCCTCTGCAGGCCTGGGGCCCCTCGCTTCTGGGCGACAGAGACAGCGCCAACTCACAGCAACAGATGACTCTTCAAAGGCATATGCCTAATTTAAAATGTGCAATTCGATAAACTGATTTAAACTTGATTTTACTCAGTGGTTTTCCTATGCTTATATTAGAACATTTAAATGTTAGTATTATAATAGTTCAAGGTAATTATTGATTCATCAGATTTATTTTAGCTTATTACATTTCTAAGAGTCAAACAAGCACTTGAGAGAATTTTGCATAAAAGGGACTCAGATGTATTACATTTATAAAAGCAGTTTCAAATATTTGAAAATGTTTAATTATCTAAGTATATAAGTGGCACCAAACAGTATTCTAAGGACCCTTGAAAGTGACTGCTAATATTTGCTAGACATAGAAACAAAATAATAAGGCTTGTGATTTGAACTTAAAGTCTGAAGAAGGAAATATTTTATTTTTAATTTTTATTGTTAATAAACCATATATTAATTTTAACAATCAGTAGACTTTCAGAGGGTTAAAAAAAGGATCTAGTCACCTTGAAAACCACATTTAAGAATTAAAAGCACTGCAAGAAAAAACATTCTAAAACAGATTATGTGAATAGTACCAACCATTTGTATTATGGCTACCTTCAATCTGGCTTCTTCCATTAAAACTTCATCTGTTGGGGACTCCTCCATTTCATTCTGTGAGACATGGGAAAACCAAACAGTATCAGACTAAGTTTTAGAACATAAAGAGATGCAGTTAAAATTAAGTAAAAATGACTAGAAGCTGGCCAATGCTACACTCAACAAAGATTCCAATAATGCAAATCAGAATTGCTAAAATGAAGGCCTATATGCAACTTGGATAATGTTCTTCCATATAAGAAGTGTTGCTTTCAAATGTAGGGTAAATATTCATTTGGGAACATGTAGAACCCATATTCTTCTCCAAACCTGTTAATATGTTTGACTGTTCTCTACAACAGCCTGTGTTTTCTGTTTTTTATGACACTTCTACCTGGAGACATCTCTCAGTATCTCAACCCACGGCAAACATCATCTTAGCACAGGTTATTGATATTTGGCAAATACAGCAGGATCTCAAAAATCTTCTGTTTAGAGACAATTCAAAGCCATTTCACCAAAATAGCAAAGCTAGTAAATATCTCTCCTCAACTTTCTAACATTTAATTAGCAAAACCAGTTGTTGTCATTGTTTTTTTACAGTAGACTAAAGCAAGAGAGGTAGAACAAGGAAAGGAAGAAAGACTATATTTTGTTTAGTATGAACTCACAGGAATGATATGTCCAATTCTCATTTTTACTTCTACTAAGGCCCAATTAACATTTGTCAAAATTTTTTTCTGTTTTAGATAAAGTTATCCTGTTCTCTATAATCTCCTGTATGTGCTGAATGGTATTTTGCATGACCATTTGTTTTGGGAGGGAGATAGCACACAAACCTGTGACAAAGAAAAGCAAGGGCCTTAACAGAGAACAGTGAAGACTGGAAGGAAAAGCAAGATATGTTGCATGATGATGGAATGAAATCTTGAGATCACCTGGATCGACAAACCAGAGTGGTTAGGGCAAGGACAACTTTTTGTTCAAAACTTTCCAGGAAAGTATCCAACAATCTGTTTCCTTTTGACTGTATAGCCCAACTTTACCTGACTCAACAGCTAAGGGTGCTTATTAGTTTCCTTGCTTTCCCTGTAGATGAAGACATGACCAACTACTTCAAGGCATCTGATTAATATTTCCTAAAGTGTAGAAAACAACCTGTGACTTCTACAGGAAGAAGAGCTGCTTATTAAACTGTGCAAGTTCCTGGGCTCCACCACATACCTACAGAATCAGATTGACTTGAGGATTTGCATTTAAACAAGCTCTCCAACTGTTTCTTAGACTGTACCTAACATAATTTAAAGTTCAGTACAAGAGAGATCCCTCAAATTTAACACCTCTGTTTCCTAGCCAGCAAATCTGTATGTTCAAAAGTTGTAGCACTTTGTATTTTCTTGAAGTGTGAGCTATGAGGCTGGTTTACCAAAGAGAAGAATTTAACAAATAAAGGAGCTTAGCTTACCCATAATTCCATCTCAATAAAGCTGTTCTCTCTTTGTAACTGCAAATGAACTGTCTCTTAAAGAGTCAAAATGGTTGCTAAATGTTTCGGTTTAACTTCATTTTATTTTCTATGAGACACTGTGTTCAATGGCGGTATTTGAAATTTGGGGGATTTAGAAAGGTCTGTAGGCATACCTCTCTCAAGTATCATAATCAGTTCACTGTGACCCAGAGCAAAGGTGCATTCCTCTGCATGCTGAAGTTAACAGTTGTCAGCTTTGTATTTAAAATTCCCATGGCTGATTGGCAGTAGTGGGAAACTGCCAAGGGTAGGGGAGGTAGGATTGGCAGTAGTGGGAAACTGCGGGGGAGGGTGGCATTCCTCATCAACAAGGGTACCTGCATGATGAATATTTGTATACCTAACCCTGAATTGTACTCCACATCTTTAAAATAAAAACTTTTTTTTTTAGTTGGAGTCTCACTCCTTTGCCCAGGCTGGAGTGCAGTGGCACGCATGCTCACGGCCACCCCAGCGTCAACCATTTGGGCTCCAGTGATCCTTCCACCTCAGCCTTCCAAGTAGTGGGAACTACAGACGCGTGCTACCACGCCTGGCTATTTTTTATTTTATTGTAGAGACGAGGTCTTTTCAAGTTCCCAGGGCTGCTCTCAAACCCGCAGGCTCAGGCAATCCGCTCACCTCAGCCTCCCAAAGTACTGGGATAATAGGCTGAACCACCGAGACCGGCCTAAAATAAAAATTATAAAAATAATTCCCATGACTGAGACCACGCAAGAGAATGTCTTTTCACTTGCCCAAAGAGTTCCTACCCATGTGACGGGCCAACAGTCACTTTCCAGTTGCTCAGGAGAAGCATGAGTGAACATGGCCCCATGGTGACACCAGTGAACCCTAATGAACTCCCAGTGTTTCAGACTCCCAGTGTTGTAAGCATATGAGGAGGGACCTCTTAAAAGCATTAGACCAGATGGAAGGAGTTGGTTTGAAACTCTTACTAATAACACTCAATTTTGTCAAGTACCTATTAAATGTGTGCCACATGGTATTTCTAGAAAAGATGAGCATTGAGTCTGAAAGGATAAAGTGCTTGCCATATACTCTTTATCCCATACTGAATTACAGAAAAGTCTGAAGTTTAGTTAATACAACAAAAAAATGTATGGGAAAAGAAAAGAGAAAAACATTATCTTGATCTCACTTTTGAATACCAGAGTAGCAGGAATTATAAGAAAGGAAGCATGAGGGAAACCCAGAAGTCACCTCTTAAACACAGACAGCAGAGTGGGTCTGGATCCCCTGGAAGCCAAAGGAATGTGGTAAGAAGGAGAGTATGAGTGAGTCTTCAGGATCAAATTAACTTCACTCATGTTGCTGTGTGAGATTTTGCTGATCCAAGCACACCTTTTTTTTTTTTGAGTTGGAGTCTCACTCTGTTGCCCAGACTGGAGTGTCGTGGCCGCTCCCGGCTACCGCAGCCTCAACCCGCTGGGCTCCAGCGACCCTTCCGCCTCCGCCTTCCGAGTAGCTGGAACTACAGGCGTGCGCTACCACGCCCAGCTAATTTTTTGATTTATTGTAGAGATGAGGTCTCGCCAAGTTGCCCAGGCAGGTTTGAAACCCGCGGGCTCAGGCAATCCACTCACCTCAGCCTCCCAAAGGTGCGGGACAAGCACACCTTTTGACTGCAAACAAGAACACACCCATCCAGTCATGGTGGCATGAACTGGTGGTCCCACTACTCATGAGGCCAATGCGGGATGATTGCTTGAGCCCAGGAATTCAAGATCAGCCTGGGCAACATAGCAAGATCATGTCTCCAAAAAAAGAAAAAAGAAAAGAAAAGAAACACATAATTTAGGAAAAAGAAAGTTGCCTAAAATATGCCCCATTTATTAGCCCCATTCACACATTGAAGCTCTTGGCTTTGAGGCAGGCTGTTGCAGGAAGTTCTGCAACAGTGTTTATGAGCACAGTTCTAAGAATGAATGAGATTCTCTGAAAAGCACAAGCAGAATGGTACTATCTCTTATGAGTATGACAGGATAAATTCATCAGGACATGTCCATATTTAGAATTCTCTTTCAACATTATCCTTCCTTTGCTCTCATTATTCTATGCTTTCCAAGAAAACTTCAGTAATTTGGTATGAAAGAAAGAAATTGCTGCCAGAGGTAAATACTCTGATAATGGTCACAAGAATTTCAGGTGTAAAAAGAAACTGTCCTCATTATAAATTAGTAAGTTGATTTTCTGGTTTATTTAAATATATGAGTGCGGTACAGGCACACCTTGTTTTACTAGCTACACTTTACTGCATTTCACAAATACTTTTTTTTACAATTGAAGGTTTGTGGCAACCTTACATCCAGAAAGTCTATCAGCATCATTTTTCTAACAGCACCTGCTCACTTTGCAATTCTGTGTCACATTTTGGTAATTCTTGAAACATTTCAAACTTTTTTGTTATGATTATATCTGTCATGGTAATCAGTGATCTTTGGTGTTACTAATGCACCACAAACCACACCCATATAAGACAACAAATTCAATCCTAATAAATGTGTGTCCTGACTGCTCCACCGACTGGCCATTTCCTCATCTCTGTTCTCCTTGGGCCTCCCTATTCCCTGAGACACAACAATTTTGAAATTAGGCCAGTTAATAACCCTACAATGGCTTGTAAGTGTTCAAGGATCTCAGAACTTGAAGACAATTCTTTTCAATTAACCCAAACAGACAACAGAAACAAGAAAACAGAATCAAGAGAATGGAGCAAAGTCTCCAAGAAATATGGGATTATGTAAAACATTCAAACCTAAGAATCATAGGTGTTCCTAAGAAAGAAAATAAAACAACAGGTTTGGAAAACATATCTGAAGGAATAATTGTGGAAAACTTCCCTGGCCTTGCCAGAGATTTAAACATTCATATACAAGGAGCCTAAAGAACTCCTGGAAGATAAATTGCAAAAACATTATCCCCAAGGCATATAATCATCAGGGTGTGCAAAGCTAATGTGAAGGAAAGGATTCTAAGAGCAATGAGACAAAAGCATCAAATATCTCATGAAGGTACACCTATTGGACTAACAGCAAACTTTTCCGAAGAAACCCTGTAAGCCAGAGGGGATTGGGGCCCCATCTTCAATCTCCTCAAACAGAATAACTGTCAGTCAAGGACTATGTGTCCCACAAAACTAAGTTTCATAAATGAAGAAAACACTGAGAGGATTTGTCACCACTAGACTGGTTCTATAAGAAATACTCAAAGGAGTTCTAAATACTGAAACAAAAGGTTGAAATATATCAGTAGAAAAATACTAGAATTTATAAAGCTCACAGGACTTGTGGAACACCAACATGCCAGGCATGGTGGTGCACACCTGTAATTCCAGCACTTTGGGAGAGGATTGCCTGAGTCCAGAGGTTCAAGACCAGCCTATGCAACTTGGTGAGACCTTGTCTAAAATAAATTTTTTAAAACAATTGGCTGGGCATGGCGGTGTGCGCCTGTAGTTCCAGCTACTTGGAAGGCTGAGGGGGAAGGATTGCCTGAGCCCAGCAGGCTGAGGATGTGGTAGCCATGAGGGTGCCACTGCACTCCACCTTGGTGAAAGAGTGAGACTTCAACTCAAAAAAATAAAAATAAAATAAAATAACACCAACAGGAGAAAGAATAAAAAGGAAAGCAACCAGGTAACAATCAACATGGTGAATGGAGCAAAACCTTACATATCATTACTAATCCTGAATGTAAATAGTCTCAATGACCTACTTAAAATATATAGATTGACAGACTAGATTTTTAAAAATACACAATCCAAATATCTACTGCTTTCAATAGACCTACTTAACGTGCAAACATTCTTATTGAATCAAGGTAAAGGGATAGAAAAAAATATTCCACACAAATGAAAGTCAAAATCAAGCAGGAATAGCCATTCTCATATCAGATAAAACAGACTTTAAATGAACAACAATGGCAAAGAAGGTTATTATATAATGGCAAAGGGATCAATCCAATAAAAAGACTTAATAATTTTAAATATATATGCACCCAACACCAGAGCTCCAAACTTTATAAAACAAAAGTTACTAGACCTAAGAAAAGAAGTAAACAGTAATAACAATAATAGTGAGACACTCCATTGATGGCAATAGACAAATTATCAAGGCAAAAAGCCAACAAAGAAACATATGAGTTTAACTAGACCCTTGAGCAAATGGACCTAACAGATATCTACAGAACATTCTACCCCCAAAATAATAGAATATACATTTGTCTCATCAGCACATGGAAGATTCTCCAAGATAGGCTTGATGTGAAAAGCCACAAATCAAGTCTCAATAAATTAAAAACATTTGAATTATATCAAGCACCTACTCAGACCACAGTGGAATAAAACCAGAAATCAACTCCAAGAAGAAATCTCAAAACCAAAGAAATTAAACAATCACTCCTGAATGATCAACAATGCAATCAAGAA